GATTCTCATTAGGTCGTTCAATATTGTTTCATCATTTAATGTCAGCTTCGTAAGATCATAATTTCCCCTATATGAAAAGAGGAAATTAAAAGGAGAAATAATTTTAAAAGAGTGAAGTAAACTTAAATTTAAATCAGTTTTGCCACAAGAGAGGAAAGCAGTGTGACCACTTGTGATTGTACTTTGCTTGGGTAAAAACTATGCATATTTGGCTACTTGAGGTTTTCCTGTAATGTGTTTCCATACCAGCAACACTACAACTGTTGCATACGCTTCACTTGTTTGGGGGCCAATCTGTGATGTGACAATATCAATTTCTGGCGGTATTAGTTAGAGGGGCCATCAGTTAGATAGGCATGGAAATGAAAGCACCTTAGGTCTCTTGATTTCTCTGCCAGTTTGTGCTGTAGCCTCCAGCCTCCAGCTAGTGTTGCAGGCAACGTGCAAATCTAACTAAAGATGACAACTCTTGCATCAAGGACCAGAGTTGATATGACAGAGAGAAGTAGCACAAGATCCCTTGATGCTGAAAATAGAGCTGGTCAAAACTGTCAACATACTATTTGTCTTCTTACAGAAAATGCTAGTTCATCAATACAGCACTATTTTCCAGGAAACGTGCTGATTTTGCTCAACTTTCTAATGGAATACAGGCAAGTCTCGAAATCTTCATTTTCTCCTGGCTAGGTCATTCACCATTGTTCTTCAGAGACCTCCCACATCCACAAGCTCCATCACAGGGCTGTGTTGGAGGAGATTTGATTCTATAAGTGTCTGAAATCACAGCTGGTTCCTGTTACAACCTGCCTCTATCACTTTTTCTCCTCCTCAGGACGGTTCTTCCTCTCCCATCAGCATGTTTCCTACAATCGGATATCCTTCCACCCGTTTAGGCTAAAACTGCAACACATCCCCCCCTTTTCTGTTTCTATGGGAGGGATCCAATCTGTGCTCCAGGGTTTGTCTCTACCCCTTCCCATGCACTTCATTGCACATGTCCTAGGACAGCTGACACTTAAAGGACAATCTGCCTGTGTGTTAAATCTTTTGCTCTGCAGCAGCATGAAACACTGGACTACATGTAACCTTAGGCCAAAAAAAAAAAATATTCAAATCAAAGCCAGTATTACTGCAACTACTAAATTGTGTCACATTTGACTAGAGTATGAGCTGCCTGGAGGGTCTGATTCAGACATGAGAAGGCAGAAGGCTTTATGCTAGCAACATCTCCCACGAGAAATGAAAATACGACTTACAAATAAAACATGCAGAATTATGCAATGACTATCTTGATCGAAACCTATCTTTCCATAAACCTAGGTGACTATTTAATCTTTCACTTTTGTTCTTTCATGAATACATATATAATGAGAGTGAACAGGAACAGGCAGGCAAGATGAGATTCAGTCATATTTACTAACACATGCAGCACTCAATTGTAACAGCATTTGTGCAGTGTTTCCCTGACAGAGTGGTTCTCTGATGTTTTAAGAGCTTCTGAAATGATGAAGGACTCTAATCTATATAAAAATAAGCTCCATTAGTAAGTAGGGTAGTCACAGGGTAGGAGTGGGTGCTCTATGAGAAATCACAAGGCCAGAAATGTAATAATCTTGGAAAGAACTGTCTTGTAAGGTAGGAGCTCTCAAGAGGAAATCACAAGGTCCTTATTGGAAAACTGAGAATAAAGGAGATGAGAAATGATACAAAATTAGGCAAGTGTTCATAAGCAAAGAATGGTGGGCTATTGAACAGTACCCCAAAATCTTGACATCACATATATTACAACCACAATTTCATGTTGTAGCATTACAGGTTCATGTTTACTGGGCTTGGCTCTGCCTTCCAACATAATCTTGCACATCCTGTACTCCTGCCAGTGTACACCCAGAAAGTCATGGCAAAAGGGCAGCTTATGTAGTAGAGGGAAGAATAAGTAGAACAGGAGAGTGGCCATTACTCTAGACATGCAATATAGCATCAGTAACTGACTCTTGGAAGTGCTGGATTTGGGGATTGGAGGATACAAAAAGACAGAGAGATTTCAGATGGTGAAACTACAAAGGTGCAATCTGTCTGAGTAAGGGAGAGAAGGCATTTAGGGATGGTCTCCAGATACAGACATGAGACATTAGAGGGATTTGGCAGTATAGTCTTTGAAAGGAACCAACTAAGGCAAAGTGGCTTGAAGTAAATAAAAAAGTTCTAGTGCTGAGAAATAGGTTAACATTCCCCAAGAAAAATTACCATCCATGTGATTAGTTGCCTGAATGATGAAAAATAAGAGCAGAAGGCAGGAAACAGAGACAGAATAGGTTCATATTTTTGTAATAAAAGCCATCCACATATTTAAGGGATTTATTTTTGTTTCCCCAGAAATACCATTGAAGTTTTTCCTGTTAAAGCATTAGGTAAAGCTGGAGTTTGCAGTACAAACAGAAGCAGAAGGACTGGTTTCACACAAGTTGTGAGAGCACAGGAGAACAGTTTATTCTGCATCCTGTCACAGCATGTGGGCCTTCCACAGGGATTGCAGAAAGAGATAAAGACTCACGATTCCCTTCCCTTCTTCAGGACTAATTGTTGGCTATTTATGGTACTGGTGGTATTTGTTACATCTCCATTGGTATCTTAAAAAATCAGCAGACATTTAAAATCAAGTCTTTCTGATGCCTCTTTCTTAAACTTGATACTGTGCTAGTGAGGGAACATGCTTACTCATGTTTATAAGTGATCATTTGCTTATGCTATTCCAACTGGACTGTAAAGAGCTGCTCCTCAGACTCCAGATGGTAGCACTGATTTGAGTGGAGGACACTGAGGCACACTACCTGACACCTCTCTGTCCAAAACAACTCTTCTGCAGAGGTCCTTCACTGTAAGGAAGAACTTTGCTATCCAAACCCAAGCCTGGATACATGAAGGAGAACTCTATTTCTATCTTCCCTTGTTTCAGGGAAGGGAAGAACTTGTAAAGGTGCTGAGAGGACTGAATCCTCTCTGTGAAACCACTGCAAGTTTTTTATAGTACTGTTTTTCCATATAACACTGAGACATTCATAAATCACAGGACAAAGAGGAAGCAGCAGAATTTCTGCTAATGAGATAAAGATACAGAAAGAGAAAGGTGGAGGAATTTAGCTGTTTGGGTCCATAGGTAGCCTGATGAACAGTATCATTAACCATTTGTGGTGCCTGGGGCTGCTCTTGAAGTCCTGCGTTGACTCCTTGGTGTCATCTGTTCCAAAAATTGTATGATAAGATTCACCACTTGGATCCTCATGTTTGCAGAGAAAATGAAGCATTTCCTACACCCTTCATACTTGTGTAATATATAACCTCCTATAACTTTGTCCAGCTTCTTTTTAAACCACTGTGCTTGCTTCAGGAATCTTTTGGTTGAAGGCAGTTGAAGAAATAGTATTATAACTGAATCTTTCATAGCAGTAATTTTTACTGTTTGATACAATATGCAATCATACAATATACAGAAAATTATGTCAAAATCTGATTTTTTAATAGTTGCACATAGTGTTTCTCTGCTGTTTGAAAGAAGTCTTGAAAATTGACCAGAAAGTATTACTGCTAAGGAAAGAGAAAGAAAATGTATATATATTTCTAAAAGGCGAGACAAACAGGTCTTACATAATGTTCCTCCAGCTTCAGATAAACCAAAACCCATCAGACACACAGAACAGTGATACACAACGACATGTTATCTTCCTAAATTGCCAGCTGCTTAACTGCTGAATTAAAAGCTGAACAGGCAGAGTCAACATCATGCATCTGTACTAAAGAACTTGAAATTTCATTTTGATTATACTGTACACATTTTCAAAGTCCTAAAACTGATATTATTTACCCTTGATCTATGGAGTTTGACGAAGTTTGGCCTTGTAAGATTGTTTCCATGGGAGGGGGCAAGTTACTAATGGGGAACAGGGATATTTTTAACACTAACTTGATTCTTTCTTTGGGACTATGCACACATATGCTCATTTCCAGGATGTAAAAGGATAAGAGTAATAAGCATTTCTTTTTATCCAAAGCCTACCACTTGAGCTTTTTACTCAAAAAATAAATCCCTGTTTATGCTCCTTCTCAGAAACAGAACTTCACTATATAGAGGAAACAGACAATACAGGAAAATAAATATTCTTCAGACCACCTAAGTGTGATACAATTTTCCCAAAATCCCAATAAAAGTGCTGCTTTAGTGTAAGACTTGAAACAGAATCAAACCCAGCAAGTAACAGCCTACAGTCTGTAATTTAGTTGTTGGAAACCAAATATAAAAGATATCATGCTTATCCATTGAAGTTACTAAACATTTTCCAGCAATATTCATCCTGAATCTTAGACCACTTTCCCTTATTGTATAGATCAATTGTTTGATTGATTTTATCTATCTATCTATTGATCTAGCTAAACACACATGTATTTATACACACACACCCTTCTCCAAAGGGTGCTGGTGTTTCCATTCAAAGCAGGAAAGAAAAAGAGAGTTACAGAGGCGTGTGTTTACAGCAATGTGATGCTAACTAGGTAGTTATAGTACATTGTTTAAGGAAATTAACTGTGATTTATAGCAGCAAATAAATAAGACAAAGCTTAAGACATCTCAGCATTAAGTGTCTCCTGCATTAATTGTCTCCAAAGTCTGTTCCATTTGTTATCTAACAAGGTACGCACCATTATTATTTTTTATCCAGTTCATTGCTTGATTCTATCTGTCCTTTCAAAATTAGCTTGTCTAATCAGAAACCATTTTTGCTGGTAGTTCATTTCACATAAAAAGGAGGAATTCTTGTTTACTGAGAAAGTAATTGGATTATAATTTTCAAAAGAGAGAAATATGAATTGCAATAAATTATTCCTCAAAAAATACAGAGGATCATGAAAACCAGCAAACTGAAAACAAATTAAAAACTCTAATGAATGAAAAGACTATAAATAGAACATGAAACTGGAGAGAATAATTTATCATTGTAACTTACCTACTTCTTGTTAGTCTGTTGAAAAGAGCTGAATATCTAAGGAAAGAAGAAAAGATTTATGTATTTACTCTAATGATGGTCAAGTAAATATTTATATTAGCTGTCATTTTTCTTCTAACTTTTCAGCCCTTCCTTGTAAACAGTAACTAAACTTTTATTATGGAAAGAAAAAATATAATTTAGCCACAGATCTGGAGGCCACAATTCCATTTCAGTTATTGATTACATTCTATTGATAAAGTTCACATTCTCACGAGCAGACTATATTAAAGTTGTACCCATTATCTTGTTGCATGCATCTGTATAAATTTAAGCAAAGAGGAGAGAATATGGAAATTGTATTCAGAAATCTGGGCAATATACTTTGGATGTTTACATAGCTGATCTATCCTATATAGTTTACTGCTTCCCAGCATTTCAATTCACATAGGAGCTTTTTTCTCTTTTAACAATTAACATTTATTTAATTAATAATTTTTTTTTTGCTAAACAAGGAAAACAAATACTAAAAATATGAGAAATAACTGAGAAGAACTATGAAAATTGTCTAAAAGAAAATAATAAAATGCGCAAAATTTGTGTAAATAAGTTTATAGAAATTTGAAACAAGAACTGATAACTAAATGATAATCTTATGTTATAAATTTATTATAATCTTGTATTATGAAGAGTAGAAAAATGAAACAATCAATATGAAATTCTGAAGTCCTAGAGAAAACTTGACTCTTACCTGTTCAGCTGCTTAACACCTTGATTTCTTTCTCTTTGTAGGCCTAACAAAGAAAGGTATGAAATGAAGTTAAATACACGAAATGACGTGAGAGAAACGGTTATAGATCTGCATTGATTTGTTCTGATTTTATTAATCAGAAAATCATTCAGGTTTTCTTCATTATGAATTGCATTTATGATAGCAATTCAGGCTTTGATCCTTAAATTATACATTTGGGGCCTGAAGTAATAACAATTCAGGATTAAAAGGATCCAGTTCTTATCTCCATACCAAACAGGTTGTTTATAGTGCACCTTATTCAGTGAGTATACTCCGATTTAGTGCAGGAAGATTGATAAAGGTAATCATCAAACACTGTATTGGCTTAGAATACAGATGAAAGCAAAATGCACCTGACTCAGCGAAGATAGGAGTTAAATGCCAGATTATCCACACAAGTGTGTCAGTAAGAGGAATTTCATGCATGAGAGATGCTAGAATGGGCATTAAAAATGGTCAGGACAAAAATCATTAACAGTTCCATAAAGCACATTGCTAAAACGTATGTACAGTGTCACATGCAAATCCTCTACAACTTCAAAAGATCTATTTGCATGCTCAAAATCAGGCTTATACGTGATCAGGACAAAAACATCAGACAGTTTCTTAATACTCAGTCGATGTGTCTACTCTAAATTTAGAATGTAAAAGTTTAGCACGCTACCAATACCATGAGACTCAAAAAGATGCTATAAAATGACTGGACTGGATTTTATTTCTTTGGTCACTGAGGATCATAGCTATAATGCATGTACTAAGCAGGCCTGGCCCACCCAAGCTGCATGGCAAGAAAATGATGGATATACTGAGTGATATGTACTGTTACTATCCATATGGTGACTGAGTCAGTCTCATTGCAGAAAATGGTATTATCCCACCTGAGAACTTCTGATTCAACCTACATTAATGGCTACTTAGGATGATTATTACCTCAGTAACATAGGGAATGAGTAGTATTTGGACAGGAGCAACACAGAAAATCACTGTTATCCAGTCAATACAAATACTTAAACCACATTATTTCTTTTTATTATCCTACATGCAAAATAGCATTGTACCTCCTCTCCAGCTTCATATCATATGAGAAAGAAGTTTGACAAAGATGTGTCTAAGTCTGGTTTGTCTGCCAGTCTCTAGTTTTCTGATCCAGGACACTTGGGAGAGCATAATCCTACTTAAATACGCAGTCCATAACAATCTCAGCTAAGTGCTAGTGATAGGAAGCCCCAAGAAGTAGACAAGGTAAACCATGAGCAGTCTCCACAAATCCTTATAGTTTTGCTGTTTGTGTTACAGTGATCCAGCCTGAAAATACTAAAATCAAGGATGGAAGCAACAAGGATTTTATTACTGAATATGTAATATTAACCTCAAAATTACTGGCATATAATCTTTCACAGAGTGGTGGGTTTGAGGTGGTTATGTGTCTGGGTATGCATTGTTGTGGCTTGAAAGGCTCACAAAATGAACCCAAATATGTCCACATTAAAGTTCTCAAGCATCTTATTCCCTTTGATATTTGTAGTTTGATTTGTATCTAGGATCATAACTTTGTAACAGTTTAACCCTGTTGAGCTAACTCTACCACTGTTCCATCTATCCTTAATGCTCAGGTTTGGCTCAGGTTTGGTGCAGGGGCCACTTACATACAATACACCTACCCACCACAGCAGGTGTTTGGGTGAAAGGTAAGTATGTGTTTGGAATGAAGGCACTTCCTACTCATCCCATATAAGCTATTAAAAGAGAAGTCAAGCTAATTCTGGTGTGGTGCCTTCCTTTCCTCCCTTATTAGTTAAATGAGCCATGAATAAAAATGAGTCCTTCTTCCTCTTCTACTGCTTCTTCACTTTTGTATATCCGTTTCTGACCTTTCCCATTTGCCTCCTCTCTCTCTGCTGTGTCCTGTCACCTAATGCAAGATCCATCCTCTTCATTGCCTGCCTGCAGAGAACCAAACTGTCAAATGGGCTCTTAAATACCAACATAATGGAAGTTAAATCAAGCTACATAAATACCCCATGACACAACTGTGAACTGTTTCCTCTGGTGCAGTCAAAGTCTTTGACACAATCACATAAGAAATTATGTGAGAGTATAACCTATTATTTAAATATTTTAAATTAAATCAATTTTATATTTAAACCTGGACAATATGGGGCTCCAAAGTTTCCTTGCACAACAACTCTACTACAAATTTACCTGCCTGCCTACTGCATTTAAAAGATTGATTTTCTTTTCCTGTATGGAGACTTTTCTTTGAAAAAAATTAATTTGTGACTCACACTGTGAGCATTCTACATGTGATTCTGCAGTTTTCAAATCTTTTAAATCAGTAATAAAAGCATATTAAATTGGTGTAACTTTATAGAGCATGTATATATGTAATTCTGAGTTAACATGAGGTAAGGAAGTATAACAGGTCCTGGACTAAGTCCTCTCAGTCATTTGGCTTCACAGTTTGTGTGTTTTGAGCTTCCCAGTCTGTCTGTGATGGTGAAATTCCTTGTTTTAGATTACCTTTCATAGCTGGACAGACACAGGCTTTTGTTCAGAACTGGATGAGGTCATCAGTCTATGAGGAAAGTGTCACATTATTATAAAATATATATTGTCCAATAACAAATTAAGAGCTTTAAAACTCCACAACTTGAGGCTATAACTATAACCTACCTCCCTACAGTCTCTGCCTCAACAGTGAGTTTTGTAATATTCCCATTCTCACTTTTCCTTGCTCCACAATTAACTCTGTGTAAGTTTTAGGAGATTCTTTGACAGCACTAAAAGTTACATGCAATTCAGGGACATGATTGCTTAACTGGTTTGGGCCACAGGTATATACACACCCTTTTGTGTCAGCACCTTATTCATTAGTGAGTGAAATTCCTGTTCCTTTCACATAGGAGTTCTTTCATGTTAGATGGGTCATAACATCAGTACAGTGACACTGAAATATTCCAGTTACTTTTCTTGGCTATCAGAATTCACTGTTTGCAAATCTTTGATGCAATTTAGTCACTAAATTACTTAACTCATAGAATCCCAGAGAAAAAAATAGGGTGGAAGGGACCTCTGGAAGTCATCTAGCCCAGTGCTCCCATGTTGTTACTCACTTTAAATTTAAAAATTCACAATTTGAATTGTTTTACAAATGGGTTAAAATTGGTGTGTGTAGAAGGTCAGATAACATGGGTAAGCTGGCAAGAAGTGCAGTTGCTTAGGCACTGACTGTCATGTAAGCAAGTCCACAGCAATCACCTAGGGAGCCTGAAGATGAATTCTCAGGCTACCTACAGGCAAATTTATAGTGATAATAATTCATAACTGATAAAGGTTAAATGACTAGAATAACGGTGATACAGTCCTTTGTAATTTACTTAACTGAATTTAATTAATTTACAACACCTTGAGAGAAATATAAAATCTCTTGTGCTTGTGTTTGGCATTGTGCTTGCACTGGAAGTGGCTTATACATCCTCTGCTCCATATTAAATGGGGCATATTTTGGACACAACTAATGTTAACAATTAGGGGTTATTTTTGAGAACTATATTTTCTAGACGGAAACATCAATAAATTTTCTATACTTACACGCAACTGAAAATAGGTGAAATCCAGAAAATTAAGTAAGATTAAAGTGGTTTTATTACTGATTTAAAACTGTATTTCTCTGTGCATAACATATATTGTCATCTAGACACAAAAGAGAGAGACAGAACCATGCAGTCTATTTGACGTTCAAAGCATACACACTGGAGTCACAAAACCAGATTGTTTTGTTCATAACTAGAAGGCTGAAGAGTAAAATTTCATTAAGATTGGTATCTAGAAGTAGATTTACAAGCCATGCATATCCATGAATAGGCTATTTAAAATGTCTGATAAATAGATGGCTTTTCAAATGTGTGTCTGACAGGCTTAGGCTCAGAAATAGAAACTAAGATGAACTCAGAGGTTGATACTCAGAAATAAATCTGTCTGGAAAATGGTGTGATGAAGAAATGAATCTATATTTTAGAAAGACTGCTTTGTAAAAACTGTTCTGATCTACCCATGACTTGGTAACATGCGTTTATCCCTGGCATCCTGGTGGATTTGGATCTAATGCATGTGTCCTCACATGGCACCTCCGAAAATCTAATTTGCATGAAGCGTATCTTCCATAAGGTGTTTAAAAGATTTGTCAACAGGAGGAATATTTCTACTGTAGGAATATTCAAAAGGCTTAGACTTCCATGTAGTGTATTCCATAAAATCAGACTTA